ACTATGTGATACTTACTTTATTGTCTATTCAGGCAGACCCAGTGTACTCCTACTGTGGGTTTATGATCCTTTCCGGTTCTTTCTTTAAGTTGTATCAGGACAAAATGAGTCGTCTTCAGCAGCAAAGGAAATCACAGATGATTCCTGTGGAATGGTCTGTCCAGAAGACAGGACCAGGAACATCAGGTTATATGAATGACCAACAGAATACATTCGCCATTGAAGCACAGATGGCTCAGGAGGCCCGCCAAAAGATTCAAGCCCGACTGACCGTGGCAACATTATTTCAGCAATACAGGTAATACCTCTAATTTGATCATTAAAGCTTAGACAGACTTGAATTTATAATCACTTATAATCAAAGGTACTTTCCTATTATGATTATCATGACATTAAAACATTGATGGCTTATGATAAGTATAAGTATATAGTAAGTAAATAAAAATAGTTCAGACCAAATTATCTTTTACTAAATAAATTTGAGTGGTAACGGGAAAACCATCATATCACTGGAACATGATTGGAATGTGGTTGGTTTAAACCTTTCTTAGCTCTATCCTAAGCTATTCTGTTTATGACTCCTGATGATGGATAATGTTGATTATCAAAAAGAAATAGGGTTTTTTTTAGCTCTGCAGTACCAAGTAAATATAACATACATATCAAAGATTCAGTTAGACAGGTGGCATGTTCACTCATTTCTCCCTTCTTTTCTTTATAACTTCATCCCTTTCTGAATCTACCTTTACTGCTTTTTATAAAGCATTAGGTATTTTCCACATGAAATAATATTATTACTTATATAATTTTACCATTTTTGTTCAAATTCACAGTGTCTAATAAAAACTTAGTAACTGCTCTAAGTAACTGCTTACAACCTGGGATTTTCATAACAATTAAGACACACAAACAATACAAATATTGCAAAGCCTACAAACCCAAACAGCCTAGCCAACCTTTGCATGATGTGGTTAATGACTGAGAAGACAGGTGCCACCCTGAATGGTTGTTTTCACAACCTTCATTGTTTGTCTGCTTGTCTTCTGGGCTAGCTGGTGTTTACACTGATTCTACCTTAGCAGCCTGTATTTCTGCAGCTCGCCTTGGTTTAGCACCTAAGACAGGAGGGACAGTGGCAGGACACCCTCAATTCAGTGTAATCAGAGCAAAACATGAACAGAAGTGTGTTTTTTTCAGTCCACTTTATTTATTATTTCAATGCATTTTTATTATTTAAAACAGCGTTTTGTGCTGTGTGCATGTTGTCATCCAACAACACAGGGCTCGGCTAATTTCCAGACGAAATTATATCACTGTAACCTCAGACCCTGCGTCTGTGGAAGAGAAGATTTGCCTCACTGTGTCTGAAAACAAGGTGAGACAGACTATGAGGACTAGTCATGCTTTTTAATGATTAATCTGAGGAACCTGTGAAGTTATTAATTAATAATACTAATAATGACATAATTTCAAACATTTACATTAAGTCTGAGTAGAAGCAGATAGTTAAGATTAATTAATTTTTGTTTCTTAACATTTAGGTCTCACCATTACAAACACAATATCTTACTGACTTAATGTCATTACTGACGGTATAGTATGAGGTCATCCTACACAGGCCCAGTGTTCTAATATAAATTCACTATGATGCATGTCCACACATTTTATAGTCTTAATTCTAGTCTAAGTAAATTAAAGTAAACACAAAGCAGAGTTTTCTAAAGATTCTAAATACATGCATCCACGTGATTGTGGGAAGTAAGATTGCTTTTTGTCTATGTATGGACAAGTGTTTGCCCATGGCTGATAAAACTGACAGTTTGCATGTAACATGTTTCCTGCCTTACAGAAAGTTGTGCCACTCACTGTGAAGAATTCTGGTGCCAATACAGTTTATTTAACTCTTTGGGTATCTGACCTTGTAAAAAAGATTTTCACTGTCAGTGACTGTCATGGATACTTTAACAAGACTATCAAGAAACACACTCTTCAACCAGGTATGAAGAAGACACACACACTCATATGCTGCACCTGCAGAAGGGTTTATACAGTTGTCAGTGGTTAATTGATACTTATACTAGTGACAGATGAGCAGTTTCCAGCAATGATTCATATTATGCAGGCCATTCATTATGCCATAGGCCATATATCATTATGGACTCACAATGAGTAAGAACACAAACAGCACGGGGCGTGACTGTGCACAATCATTATCATGAGAATGAAGTGAAACCAAAACAAAGGCTCGACCAATAATACATCAAAATTTAAAAAAGAACAAAAAGGGATTTCAACAACCTGAAGTCTGCAGTCACAACAGAAACATGAGGATTCATTGACTAGTCACAGTGAAGTACTTCTTGCCATTTTGAAGTATGCGTTATTTCATATCCAGTTGAGATAAATTGTAATCCTTTTGCAAATTATCCTAGATGTTCATGTGTTAAGTTAGGCTTTGGACTAATGTACAACACATTTGGTGGTTTGACTGTGCTGGATGCCGAATCCAACAAGACAGAAATTATGACTGTGATTTCATGTGGTGTATAATAAATGTACACTGTTTAATCAATGACAAAAGTAGAGTTTCCAACTTTGAATAATCTACCTTTTTAATTAATATTTCACAATGTAAAATTCCTGCATGTATAAGTAATTTCTTTTTTTTCCCCTCACTGTTTCTAGGAGAGGCCTATAAGATCAGGGTCCATTTCAATGCTGAACATCCAGGCTTCTATGAGCAGTTACTGGTCTTTAAGTTTAAAACAGATCCGCTGTCCTCAGATATGTTTGAGATTATGCGCCTCTTAGAAGTCATGCATCAGACATCTTTTAATGAAGAGGTTCTCCCAACAGTCACAAACTCACTGCGTACCCTCCAAACTGTGGAGCAGGCACCTCCTGCAGGGTATAACACATTAATATCATGTTATTATATGTTATTTATGTTAGTGTCGTTATTATGTTGTACACCAATGTTTATGAAATCATCAATATTATTTTTGTGATTATTTTTTTTGCAGTCTGTTAATGCCTTCTGTCATGGCTTTTTTCAGACACTGTAGAAATGACTGTGTCACTCATCCAAATTTACATTGCAACATGTATTGGTCACTGGTATTATGAGTCTTCTATTTTATTACTGTCCTGTGCTTTTTTCTTTGTTTTTTCACACCAGTGTTGTATTGATGTGGCTGAAGACTGAGGTTCCTTTGAAGAAATATCCGATGGCCGACAATATAAAATACCTCAGTAAATCAGACACGTATGTATTTTCAACTGCACAGGCTCTCATTGAGAAGGCGAAGTTCATTTGTACCAGATTTCAATTTCTCACCTAGTCTGTTAAGGTAAACCAATTCAAGTTTGGACCCAGAATTGTGGCATATTGTGTATATTGAGCTTCATTAACAACCAAACAAATGTCAGGAGAATATTTGAAGTAAAAGAGAATGACTCATGAAAAAAATGACTCATTAAAAAATGACTCACCTTTAAAATAGCCTCAGTCCACCCTGAGTAAGGCGTGGTTAATATCTCAAGCTAAATAGACAGGCAATCCTGACTATCATGTGAAATAAAGTCAAGGTGCCTTAGCTGATCTGTAATAAGTAAAATGCAAAAAAAAGCCACAATATGCCATATTCTTTCAGGGCAGGAAGTACAATGCTCTGATGTTATAACTGTTATAACACATGCCTGCTGGGCTTGTAGAAGTGATGCACTTTTCCCTGCCTTTTTATGCCACAGGAATCTATTTATGGACCTGGAGATGAGATCTCTGAACTGGACGAACTACTCCCAGAGGTTCCACTTGCTACTGCATCTCGAGGAGCTCCAGCTGAGGACAGATATAGAGAAATACAACCAGGATGATGTGGTCATGTTCAGACACAAAAACAACGCAGACCTTATCGTTTTCCCGGTGATACGTCTCGCACACAATAAACCTAAAAACTGACAACTGTTGTTGCTTTGGCTGCAACTTTCACCTCTAAAACGTTTTGTGTCATCAGATTGCAGGTGTCTCTTACAACTCGCCAGCGAAGCTGTCTGGGAACCAGGTGCTGGTGACTCCTTTAGAGCAACGAGTTTTCAGAAATAAAGTTTACAAAGGCTGGATCCAACATGCGGATGTGGAGCAGATCTACCTAAAATTCAATGACGAGTAAGAGCAAGATTAAGATATTTTTAGCACAGTGTAATTTTCAATTATATAAAATACAGTAGATACAGAAATCCAGCATAAAAGAAGTAGGGATACCAAATATTCCAGTCAGTTGTCTGAAAATCTAACCTACCACTATTGCTCAAAGAAAGATCATAGTTCTATCATAGGAAATAAGGGGAAAATACACTGCTCAAAAAATTAATGGAACACTTATATCACACATCGGATCTTGATGAATGAATTATTCAAGTTGAAAATCTTTACAGATGTACATTGTATAACTTGTTGAGAACAAAATTACGTAACAACGGTCAATGGAAACCAAAATCATCAACCCACTGAGGGCTGGATTCACAATCACACTGAAAATCAAAGTAAAAATCCAACTTGCGTTAAATTCATCATGGCAACTCATAATGTGATTCAGTAGTGTGTATGGCCCCCGTGTGCCTGTATGCGCTCCTGACAACGTCTGGGCCTGCTCCTGATGAGTTGGCGAATGGTGTCCTGGGGGATCTCCTCCCAGACCTGGATCAGGGCATCAGTGAGCCCCAGGACAGTCAGTGGTGGTACTTGGTGGTGTCGGATGGACAGATACATAACACAGAGCTCACTGCACCAGCGTAAGGTCTGACAATCGCTTTGAGGATTTCATCCCGGTACCTAACAGCAGTCAGGGTACCGTCGGTCTGTGTGACCCTCCAAGGATATGCCTCCCTAGACCATCATTGACCCACTGCCAACCTGTTCATGCTGGATGATGTTACAAGCAGTATAACAATCACCACAAGGCCTCCAGACTCTTTCATACCTGTCACATGTGCTCAGTATGAACCTGCTCTCATCTGTGACGAGAACAGGGGCGCCAGTGGCAGACCTGCCAATTCTGGTGTTCTCTGGCGAATGGCAATCGAGGTGCACGGTGCTAAGCTGTGAGCACAGGTCCCACTATAGGACGTTTGGCCCTCATGCCACCCTCGTGTAGTCTGTTTCTGACAGTTTGGTCAGAAACATGCAGACCAGCAGCCTGCTGGAGGTCATTTTGTAGGGCTCTGGTAGTGCTCCTCCTGTTCCTATTTACACAGAGGAGCAGGTCCCAAACCTGTTGCTGGGTGCCCTTCTACGTCCCTGTCCTGTCTTGGTATCTCGTCCATGCTCTTGAGACTGTGCTGGGAGACACAGCAAACATAGCGACTGCACATATGGATGTGCCATTCTGAAGGAGCTGGACTACCTGTGCAACCTGATTGGGCTGCAGGTACCACCTCATGCTACCAGTAGTGACAAGGACACTAGCAAAACACAAAACTAAAGGAGAATCAGGCCGGAAGGGTAAAGAGAGAGCAATTGTGTCCACCACATGCAAAACTCTTCTCTTTTGTGGGTTGTCTTGTCTTGCCTCACCTCTCCATTGCACCTGTTGTCACTTTCATTTGCACCAAAGCAGGTGAAATTGATTCACAATCACTTATATCCCTGAAGTTTAACTGACTTGGTGTTATACTGTGATGATTAAGTTTTCCCTTAGTTTTTTGAGCAGTGTATATTATTTCTAATAATGTCTAGACATTGCATTAAAAGGGTTAGGGTTCTTGGTTTAAAGGTTGTTATAAGCTTGCAGTTTTTTTCTGACTATTTGTCTCTGACTATTTGACTTTGCATGCAGGTTCCTGAGTCAGTTCAAGAACGGCACGAGGTTTAGCGTTACCTTCGTGATCAACCGCATGCCCCTGTGCATGCAGCATAGAGCAGCAGCACTGGTGTACAAACACAGATTGAGGGAGGTGCTGTTCCCTACTGGACAACTTTCTTCCCACCATTCACATCTACAGAGGTCAGATTACCTTCAAGTCACAAATCCAGGGGAAACATTCATAGACATTATAGACATACAGACAAGGTCATACTTATGTACATCTTCTCTGTGTGCCTTTTATCTCATCTGTACCTAAATAAATAAAATTTTTCCCATACATGTAAATACATCCGCATGTAAACACTGACTCTCTTAACTGTGACTCAGTTCTGATATCTTTCCTTAGCACCTATGTCTCACTGTTATTAGGCTGGTAGGCCTTGAAAGCAACCCTGAGCAGTGCAAGGCCATTCAACACATTGTAGCTGGTACTGCAAAACCTGCCCCTTACCTGTTATTTGGTCCACCTGGCACAGGTACTGCACATGCATGTGTGTGCTTAAATGTAATTTCTTTTCTTTACAATTACATTAAGAATAACATATTTTTTACATGTATTTGTCAGGCAAAACAGAGGCTTTGGTGGAAGCCATCAGGCAGATAGTAAAAACCCAGCCCTCAAGCACCATTCTAGCCTGTGCTCCCTCCAACAGTGCAACTGATCACCTCTGCGAGAAGATTCTGGCAGGAAAGATAGACAACCACAAGTTGTATCGTTTGTATGCCGTCCACTGCTCTGTGAAAAATATTCCCACAAATGTAAAGGTCTGCATTCTTCTTGTTCTGACTCAGATCCTCAAATATAAAAAAAGATAGTGACATAGACAGTTTGTAACAAGGGTTGTTTATGAAGATCCTCAAAAACATACCAGTATATAAGTCATTTGCTAAGCATTCTGCTTCTTCACCTCACCTCAAATAATATCTGTCACTTTCTGATATCCTATAGTTTAACTTTTTAGGTAAATCCTGACTAAGTTGTGTTCTTCTCCATCATCTATGTCTCAGCAGGAAATTAATCAAATTAGAGAAGCAAGATATGTCATTGTGAATGTAGTATTATTCAGTCTACTTTAGTACTATCAAACTCCATTTTGGTGTCTGGGTGTCTATATGTACTGTACTATATGATAATTAGATGTGTGTCTGTATGTGCTTGGTTGTTTTCTGTAGTTTTGCTGCAACCTGGACCCACTCACAAACATGCTTATAGTTCCTCCCAAAGAGGAGCTGGTGAAGTATAAGATCATTGTCACCACCCTGCTAAATGCAGGAAGGTACAGTGGCTAATGCAATTAAATATTATTTGAATATCCATAATACTAATACATTCAAAGAAAAAATGTGTTTTTCACTTGGTGTAATGCTCTTTAGACAGCCGATAAGGATCTTTCACAATAGATGCTTATTTTGACATGTCACAGCAGGAGAAGTACAGATGTAATCAATAACATTAAAATCCCATTTCAGTGTGCCAGTTGCAGTTATTGTGGTATTGTGTATTCTGGCATATTGAGATCAGCTATGATTCAAGAAATGACATACACAGTGTTCCTCCCAGCTAACACAAGCAGATACTGAGCTACAGCCAACATGCATAATGGCAGAACATCTTAATTTTAGCATTATGTTGAGTGTAATCTTTATATGCAAAATGTGTTCTGAATCCCATCTTCAGATCGCCAAGTCAATGCAACTATCTATGAGTCTGTGAAGTAAATATTTTTTTGTTTTTTTTATGTGAACATGTGATTCCCTATTTTTTACACTCACACAGTTACTGTACAGACATTCATTTCTGGATGATTCACAGCACTTCCACTAAGAATCTCTCACTTGTGCAGTTGTTATCAGAGTGCTTCTGTTTTTACATTACATTCATGCAATCTGTTACAATAAATAAGAACAAGTTGCAATTTAAACCCTTTGCTGTACCCTAAATAAAAATATTAGCCATAGTAATACCATGTCTTACTCATATCAAAATGTGCCACAATGGTGGAAAATTAGCTGTCATCAATTTCATTTACCTCTCTCTCTCTCTCTCTCTTCAGACTAGTGACAGGAGGGATACCTCCAGGTCATTACACTTATATCTTTGTGGATGAGGCAGGCCAGGCTGCAGAAACAGAGTGTATCATCCCTATAGCAGGTGACAATCTAGTCAAGCTTTAACACACAGCGTGAGATGTTCTGTATAAGTTGTGCCCTTAATGTTTGATATTCAGGAGTTTTGTCTTGAACTATGCTTTGTTATTTTTGATCGCGCCATAGGTTTACTAAAACCAGATACATGCCAGTTAGTGCTGGCTGGAGACCCTAAACAGTTAGGGCCCATCATCACATCCAGAATGGCAAAGAAACATGGCATGGGTGAGCACTATGTATATGGTGTATACAGTATGGAAACACAAGTAGGGTGTGTGAAGTTTCTAAACAATAAATAAGTGTTTCTAGTTTCAGGAATACATCAAGTGCTTGATGACTCAAACATTTATTTAATGCAAAATCTGAAAATATTAGTGAAAGAATTGTTGAACCAATAACTCATCAGATGTTTATTATTGCCTGTATGTAAGGAAGTTTTAAGGCCATTTACTATGTGTAGGTGTGTCCTTGTTGGAGCGTCTGATGAGGGACATTGACTTGTACAAGTCACATGAGGAGTATGGGTTCAACAGCCGATTTGTCACCAAATTACTGAGGAACTACAGGTGTGGTATTTTTGATACCTAACTTTGTTGCCTTGTTTTCTCAAAGTGTCACTGTTAAGTTCACTTCTTTTCCTCCTCGCTCTCTCAGGTCCCATCGTGCAATTCTGACAATTCCCAATGAGCTCTTTTATAAAGGAGAACTTCTACCTCATGCTCCAAAAAAGAAATGTAATTCATACTGCAAATGGAACCGGCTGCCCAAGGAAGTAATATAGACAGACACACACACACACACACACACACACACACACACACACAAACACACACACACACATGCATACACAGAGGCATAATCAATTCTCTCTCTCCAACCATGTTCTTATTTCTCTTTCTCTGTCTCAGGGTTTCCCTTTGATCTTCCATGGAGTGGCAGGTATTAATGAACGTGATGCCAACAATCCCTCCCTTTACAACGTAGCAGAGGTGGAGGTGTTAAAGGAATACTTAAAATCCATCTTTGACCATCTTCACAAAAAGGGTGTGACCAAAATTCAATCAGGAGAAATTGGCATCATTACCCCGTACAGAAAACAAGTGAGTATATAATTACAGTAATCCATGGATATATTAATAGACCTGGACATGGCACTGCGACTCAGTTTTTCTGCCTTTTTCCCAGTGGCTGAACACCACACAACAAAAAATAATTCCTGTGTCCCTAAAATACGGTTTCCCATAGATGGCCATTATAAAAACATCTATAAAACCAGTGACAGGACACCTTAAATGGCAAAGAAAGTCAGTTATTACTTTGGCATTATAAAACATTTTGGTGAGTATTTGTAAGACTTTCCAGAACCTAATAAAGCTGGGATCAGGTGGGATCAGGGAAAAAGATACCGAAGAGATACTTTTGTAATAAGCTGGGCGAGTAACACGATTAAATGGGGTATCATCTTCATCGATACAATACAATATTGCTTAAATGATTGCTTCTAAGAGTTTCATGGTTGTTCAAACACTGTAATGACACACTCACATTGTCCTGTTTTTTTTTTTTGTTTTTTTTGGATGTTGATAGGTGGAGAAAATCCAGACTGCCCTTCAGATGGACAAAGATCTCAGGAAGGAAGACTTGGAAAACATTGAGGTATGAAGATAGAGAGTGTCTGTTTGTTGTGGAACATGTTTGAGAGAGATGTTGGAACTGCACTTAACAGACCTTGCATTTATGTTTTCATAGGTTGGTTCAGTGGAGCAGTTTCAGGGTAAAGAGTTCAATGTGATTCTGGTGTCTACAGTGCGTAGCAATCCCAAACTGTCTGCACAGAAGGAACGGTTCACTTTAGGCTTTGTTTCTAATGAGAAGGTGATAAACATTACACAAGCACAATAACTCAGTAGCAATATATAATATTTGTGTGGATACCCACTATAAATCAGATACTCCTTTTTAGAATTTTAAGCAACCCTTTGTAAACATTTGCATAATAATCAGGGGAAATTTAATTCTCTGAAACTATTTAACTGAAATTGTCTCCTCAGAGGTTCAATGTGGCCATGACCCGAGCCCAAGCTCTACTGATTGTGGTGGGAGACCCGAGAGCCTTGAAAACTGACAATATCTGGAACAAGTATGGCTACAAGTGCTCATCAGTCTAATACTGTTTTAGTGGAGATGAATGGGTTGCACAAATACATAGCTTAACTATTAACATCTTACATATGCTGACCTCTCTTTTTAGGTTTATCTATTACTGCTTCAGAAACGGGGCTTACCGTGGCATTACAGTCTCTGATGTCGAGGAAGAGGAAAATGCACTGACTACAATACACTCTTGGGCACTCTGGTAATAAGCACAGTCACATACTCGCACACTTTGCACGGCATGTCTTTCTATTGTCTGGAAATTGCCTTGAAGACTAAGGAAAGTTTGGTTTCTCTTTCCTCCTCTTATGTCCACCTTTGTACTACAACCCCATAGTGAAGAGTGACAACAGGTGGATCCCTATTGGAAGACCTTGCTCACAGATCTTGAGCTAATCAACATAAAAAAATAGACTAAAAATAAAGAGCTGGATGACAAACTGACAACTAAGTGTGCACTCACAAATATCTTTTTCACTCAGGACACAGACACAAGACAACACTGCCTGTTTAAAAGCATATTATGTTATATAAATTATGTTTTATTTAAATGTTACATTTTAGATAGAATTAGACTCATGTCTCTTTTTACACTGTTTAATTTAGAAGAGTGCTTTGTAAACTAACTTCCATATAGACATATGTTCATGTTTTGGATAAGTCAAAATATGTAACATTCATAAAGTGTTGTTTCTATAAATATTAAATACTGAGAATCATTTAAGTTTTAACGGTAATGGACCTTATGCACATCGTAGGTTTAGTAATGGGGTTCATTTTTTGATGTTTGTGTTGCTCCAACTTCACATTTTAACTCCAGGAACAAAGTTCCTGAAATATTATGTTCCATTTCAATCACTTATGATGTGATGTGATGTGATGTGATGTGATGTGATGTGATGTTATGTTATGTTATGTTGAAAATATTTTGACCTTTAATTTTTTTTAACTAGTGGTCCTAGTGGTGAAGTGTGCTCACACATTCATAATTATTATAATAAGAATTTAACATTGATTCATAATTTAAAGACCACAATTACGTTTGTAACTATTATTATTATTGTTATTATTATCAGTGTCAGAAATAATAACGCACTGTACAGTTGTAACAGAGGACATCTCTCTGTTACAACAAGCATTATATTATACAGGTTAAAATATGCATATTATAATGTTGCCAAACGAGTCGCTGAGAGGAAAACATGAAGTTAATATCGCTGGCTTGTTTGCTGACTGATTCATCCTAATCAATTATTTTTAATAGTTCTGTTTTGATCAGATACACTGTTTACACTTTCGTTTTGTTCACTTGGCTTCACAGTTTCAACTCTTAACTTTCGTTTCTCCCGACTGACTGGCTGTGTGGGTGCACGCGCTTTAAATCTCCGAGCTCATACTGAGTGTCAGCTGAGCACCTCCGTATCATGAGAGGCAGAGAGACACCGCCCATGTTGACTGCCCAGGAATATAAAAGCGATTGGCTTTCACCGGGACTTCCTGAGATGTAAATCACCCCTTGGTCGAATTGACGAATTGGAGGCGTCGGATTGATGAGCGATATATATCCGTCCTCAGGTCACAAGCTCGGACGCTTTGCTGTTTGATAACTCTGATAATATTGTTTTATTTTGTTTTTTTTATCATGGTTAATATGAAGTTAAGTGAACGCAGCCAAATTGGACTCGAATTCTTTGAGTATTTGAAGGAGAGTAATAAAGCGTCCATCACAGACAGACTTGAACTAAGAGACATTTACAACAACGAGTTCAGGATCAGGTGAGTTCTTCCTCATCATGTACAGGATTTATCTGTAGCTTTGTATGTTTGTGTAAGTTTCATAAACATTTGCGAAATTAAATGTTTTTGTTTTTATTTCAGGAATGCAGGAAACAAAGACCCAAACTTTGGTTCAATCCTCTATGCCCTGAAAGTGACTGGCAAAATAACAAGACGAAGGGACACCATTCGCTTTAACGCCAAGGTATGCACTTCTACCTCTGCAATACAGTTTAATCACGCCAGATTATGAGTGGAAGGCTGAATGATTTGAAGGCGATGATGCGTCTCTGATGAGGAGTCAGTAGAGACAACAGTTCTAAATTGACGCACTTAATAAGCAGGCTTGGGTCAGTGTTCTTTTCACAGTTAGGCTATATGTTAAAAAACATTTTTTAATTAAACAAACTTCACGCAATGATACGTCACTCCAGCAGTAGCAGTTTTGTAAGATGTGGTTATCCCCTGCTGATGAAGTGGAAATACAGACGCATGTTTGTTATTTTCAGGTTCATTCTATGGTTTTGACAAAAAGTGGTTTAAGTTATTTGCTGTAGTGGCACAGTGGTTAGATACAACTTACAATACTTTAATTGAATTTAAAGTCACTTAATTTTAAGTTAAATTACCTGTGAATCAAATGAAATAAATAAATGATGCTGGGTGAATGTAGAACTGACATTTATAATAATACTGTTATTACCATTAATATTTAATACCAGTTTAATTGCTCCAAGTCAAAGGTCAAAGGCTGTTACACATGTTACGTCTTTATAAATAACTGGTGGATATAGTCAGGAGCCTGTTGGTCATCATATGCATCATTAACACCACACAACACCAGAATCTGAATCAGAATCTATTTTACTGCCAAGTAGGTTTTCAACATACAATGAATTTGCTTTGAGTTTTTGGTGCATATCAATAAACATAGTAAGAGGTAAAGACATATAAACAAAGATGAAACAAGCAAGTACTGCAGGTCAGATATCTTAAATATAAATAGAACAATTTAACGATAAGATAAAATATTTACAAAAAAAATTGACAAAATATTATAGAATATTTAGAAAAATATATAAATATATACAATACAAACATTAACTATATGGCTGTGCTACAATGTAAAGCTATTTTTTTTATTTATTTTTTTATCGTGGTTCTAAGTCAACATTATTCTGGTGGATTTTTATTTAACAGAGACACATTGTTTACTTATGAGGAGTTTTTATCCCAATACAACATCCCTATAATACCTGGGGATTATGCAAAGGTTTTTAGGGCAATTGTTTCTGGCACATGTAATGCTATTTAGGCAACAACCAAGGGGTAATTATCAATTTTTACCAATTTTTACCTTCTCTCCTTCTCTCCTGCACATAACTTTCCTTATAGCCTGATGGTAACAATAAATTTATTAGGACGCTTTCAAAATGATTTGTACGTAATCTCATACTAGAATTGTTTTATTTATGGATAATTTGGCATGGAAAAAGTCCTGGCTCTAACCAGTGGTGAAAAGCACTGTACTTAAGAAGAATTATGTAGAAGGTAGTTCTACTTTACTAAAGGATATCAATTTTTTCTGCCTTTATTCTTCTACTTCACTACATTTCAGAGGGAAATATTTTAATTTATACTCCATTGCATTATCTGTACCTGCTATAGTTACTTTATAGATTAAGATTTTACATACAAGACAGGCGGGATCCTTTGCCAAGTTTCAGATTTATTTGTTTGTTTCAGAGTTGTTTTCAGTTTTATCAAGAGACATTTGCCATCGAAACTTTGTTTGTTGTTTTCATCTAAATAAATATTTCAGGCTCCAACACAGCAAAATGATCAATTATTCCCACAAAAAAAGCAAAGATTAGAGAAAAGTCAAAAAAGGAATATAAATTTGTGAATCAGTACTTTGTTTTATTCTATTTTTCTCTCCCATTAATCATCTCACAACCCCTCAGACTGATCTTGTGAACTGTAGGCCTGACTCCTAGGCAGGACACCATTAAACTAAACCTAACTGTATATAAAGTACACATCAGATACACCACAACCACCTGCAACAGTAAAATTCAGCTCACACATTGTTGCACTAATATTAAAAATCTTAAATATATTTGATAATATATCAATCATAGGGATCATTTTACTACATAATGAGTATTTTTACTTTTAGTACTTAAGGACATTTAGCTGATAACAAATCCGTACTTAAGTCGTATTTTGACTGTAGGAGTTTTACTTGCATTAAGAGCATTTTTACATTGATGTATTGTTACTTTTACTGAAGTAAAAGTCTGAGTACTTCTTCCACTGACTCTTACCTAATCAGTGTGATGGAAATCTTGGGAGCTGTTAACCTGTGATGGAAGAAGTTTCAGGAAACCCAGATGTCTTAAGCAGAAGGATTCATTGAAGCTTTGCCAAGGAGATTAGAGATGAGCAATACAAGTTAACACTGTGTACTGCCTCCCAATTCTGAATCTTATCATCCCTGCAGATCTTATTTAAGCTCATACAAACTCATTCAAAACTTACATGTCCAAATAAGGATGCATTCATTGGACCACAGCACCTATCCATACATGTGTGAAGATTCTACTGGGTACCAAATCCCTAACAATAAATCATGGTTACCTAAGTCAAATTGTATATTTTCATGCAATACTTTCCCAAGGGAAGACAATCTTTATCTGGGATGAAGGGCCCCTCTGTTATGACTGTTCACTCCCTCCACTGGAGGCAGGCTCAGTTGGTGATATCTTTACGACCTTGGTTGTGATGACAACGGCCAATGGGGACTAGGCCAGTTTGGCTCTATCTGTGTCTTCACAGCTGTCCTTGAGACAATAAAAGCAATAGTTAATTGAGCTATTGCTTTTAGGCCCTGCTTGTAAATGACCTGTAAAAACACTACATAATACTACCTATAGACCTAATGAAGGAAAAATCCCTTCACAGTCAGTATCTGATAACTAACAAAATGAAGGAGGTTTCTTTCAAGCTTATTCAAAGACTCAACCCAGCTGAGATATCCTTTTGAAAATTCAGAAAATATAATATAATATTAGTATCAATTGTTCAGTCTGTTGTAGTTCCACTAAGATTGCTGTTCATTTATTTGTTACTTCCCTTTTTTTTTTTTGGAACAACTTTTGTATTTTTATAAACAGCCATAGCCTATTGATCAAATTTTAATATTATTTTGGAAGCGTGCTGTTTGGCGAGCTAGAAGATAACACAAAATGGAATTCTTATCTGTATATTACTAATCTATCATTATTTTATTGGCTAAATTTCATATTCATAAATGCAAATGTACAGGTAAAAAGATAAAGGTCATCAAAATGTTCTAAAAACCATTAATAACTGTTTTTTGTTAATTTTTTTGTATGTAAACCATATTGTGTGTGTGCACTTATTTATGGTCATTTTGTGATACAAGGAATTGGTACTTCTTCCTTTTAGCCAATGTTAAAAAAAAGTTTGCAGTTACTAGTTTGCAGTAATAGCAAGATTTCCACACCCTGTCTAGAGTATCATCACTCTTAAAACAAATAATCTGCCATGTCATCAACTTTTATACACATGCTTAAGATAGACAATATAAAGGAGATTTCAGATTGTTGCTGACTTTAACCTTACTGTCATTCATAGGAGAAGAAATGCTTACTGCAGGGTTTTGTGTGTGTGTGTGTGTGTGCGCGTGTGTGTGCGCGCGTGTGTGTGTGTTTTGAAAGGAAATGTTCAAAATTATTCAACTCAGTCAGAGTAAAGTGCCAGACATGTTCTTAAACATGTTATCAGATAAAAAAAAACACACACATTTATTTTCACTTTTGTTCTGCTGTTAGATTAAACTTTTTAAACAAGCAACAGTAATGTGTCATTCTGTAAAGGGTTTTGACTCAAGCCAAGATCACCAGGATCTGGGTGGTGTCTTTTTCTCAGAAACGAAACCTCAGGTCTGAAAAAAAAAAAGTCTTTTGCATGTTACTGTATTTATATGCATTTACAAGGGTATTAAACAAATAGGTGGATGCAGATAAGTACTTATACAAACAGGTGAGGACACCTTTATGTCTGCTACTGCCAATAAAAAAAAATCCCAAGAGTAATTTTTCATCCAAGTTTATTCAAGTGATCCTCTGTACAGATCAGAGCTCTTTATGTGGACCAGTGGCACACACCCAGGAGCCATCAGCCACAGGCCGTGCAGAATGGAGTGGCCAGTCCCGGGCCAGTACAGACCTTCACCTCTCCAGATGAAGCGGACACGGGAGTTCGAGCCCGCAGAAAACTGGCCAGTCTGCTAATGGACAAACTGAGGACACAAAGGTAACACATCATGCTCCCCAAAAGCTTTTTTCAGTTTTTTCTGTTTTTTAATATTTTGACAAAAGGTTTTTCTACTTTTTCTTTCACTGCAGTCTCAACACATTTTATTAATTTTTTGGTGTGTAAAGTTGCTGAATCACTGTTAAATCATCTGGTGTGTAAGTTGAAAGGGGCATTGCAGCCTTTGATGTTAGAGATGATTCAGACTGTCTAGTTATGAAGGTTAGAGGTTGTAGTGTCTTAAATGTCTGAGATAGGTTTGTTGGAAACATTTTTTTAGTGGAATTTGTTATTCAGAGAGAAAGATAAAATAACTAAGAAGAACCTTCTACCCACCCTCATTATGACCTTGTCCTCCCTGCAGTTTTGGTAGAATGGACTGGTGAGGGAAGGGATGGTTATGCAGATTCTATGCTGTATCTGATATGTGGAGTCTGTTTCCTGATATCAGAATAAATATATTAATATAAGACAGTGGAACTGACGAGAGTGTGTTTCTTTTTTCATCAGACAATAAGTGACAAAAAATTTGAAAAGTGACACGCAAACAAATGTCTTCTTTGGAATCAAGGCCCACAACAACAGGCTTACTTTACTTGTGTGCTGTGACAAAAAGCAGACAGGACAGGAAGTCGTGTGGGTAGGGTTGTAAGCATATACTGCAGGAGCCAGCATAGTTTGCACGCTCAAAACAGCAGTCCACAAAGTTGTGAATTATAGAGCTTGTTATTACTGTTACAACTGTACAACTGTTATTACCCTGTAGCCTGTCACTGGCCTTGTACTCACTGTAGATGTCCTTCACTGCCACCTGTATTATTTCTCCATGCACCTACAAAACACATGAAAGAACACACTTGAATCTTGGTTCTGATTTAATCGTGATTTTCAAATTCACATACCACCCTTCTTGCCTGTAATACATAACCTTTGCTATATTTGCACCCACAGGGCTCAGTTCATTTCTGACAAACATGGCGTCAGCATCACCTCTGACCATCAGATTGAGAATGGGAAACTTTGCTTGTGTGTGGAAAACACATTTGAGGTATTTATGTTGTGAAATTGCAGTGTTATTTCCATTGTTGGTCATTGTACAAATGTGCAGCTCCACTGCATAGATCTGTTTTTTTTCTTTTTTAAACAGTACACGATAATTCTGAATGTGAAAAACACTGGAACAGAGCCTGTGTATTTCACCTACTACACCCCACTGCACTGGCTCAAACACTTAACTCTGACGGATGAACACAAAGTGACCAAAACAAACCCCCTGACACTCAAACCGGGTAACACAAAAGTCACAAACTAGTTTACTTTTATTTGAATTCATGAATCCATTTGAATTTCTCTGCTGACAGAGAATTATGGGCACAATAAACCACAATGAATCACCTCCATAAAATATTATTGTCTGTTATTTTCTGATCTCAGGTGACAGCTATGAAATCAAGGTTTTCTTCTGCTGCAGTATGGTTGGTTTCTATCCATCTACACTGGCCTTTGAATTCAAACCAGACCTGCAGCCCTCCTCCCCTGCTTTCCACATTGTGCGCTTTATTGAGGCTCAGTGTATAACTTCCTTGGGACTGGAGCTGGCACCAATAGCACCCTACAAACCTCAGTCCCTCCCTGCCTGGACACCTGAAGTTCATTGCACGATTGTGGATGGGCAGCAACCTGAGGGGTATCACTGTTCACTCAATATACTGTTAAATATACAGCAAATATAAAAATTGAAATGCTGTATGTCTCATATGTTGTATTGTAGTTATATAGCCTACTTTTTGCATTTTGTCTGATCTAACCAGGTTGTCAGTGATGCGGCTTCAAAATGTGGCTCAGCTACAGAGGTATCCAGTACCACCGTATATGAACCAGCTCATTCAGACTCTGAAGCAGTCTACGTACTTCTGCGATAAAAGGTAAATGCAGTTCAGTTTTTTATGTCATTTGCAGCTGTAGGTCAGTAGTTAAAGTATCAAAGTGGTGTGATGACCGTGAAAAGCCTAACCTCACCCTCACTGTTTTTATGTGATGCTAATGTGTTTTATATATCAAATTGTAGCCAGTACACATTGTGTTTATGTACAAGTTTGAACTTGCAAATATGTTTTGAGGGAAATGTAATGCCACCCAGGTGAAGTTTTTCTGTCAACATGATGAGGGAATCTTGTTAATTAACGTATGTGGCAAGTTACAAAAATATTGATACTGAACGTAACAGGAAAATGTTGATAGATAATAGTTTTTATTTGTTTTCCGACATATATCTTGCACTACATTGTCCACTTGTAGTGACACCAGCATTATTGAAGTGGTTATGGTTATGTAGACACAACATGTGTCATGTTTAAGGTAAGGCTGGACCCAAGAAACAAAACACAAGGGGAGTAGGTGGAAAGATATAATTTACTAACAAAAAAACACAAGGAACATGAACAGGAACCAGAAGCATGGGGGACTCGAAAAGCCGAACTGACCAGGACAAAGGGGAGCACAGAGACTAAACAGACACAAGGGAGGCAAGGGTGATTGAACACAGGTGAAACACATTAGGGCGGGGCAGACAGTCAACAAAGAAGGAAACAGGACAGGAAGTAAAAACATTGAGACACAAGGAAAGTAACTACAAAATGAAACAGGAAATGACAAAACTCAAAGTGAGAACAAAATCTCAAACATGAAATGTCCGTCATTGCACACCATGACAACATGATTATTAACATTTAACAGAACACAATCTTTTCCCTAACCTTACCCAAAGTGTTTCTGTTGATTGTTGTAAAAAAAAATGTCCTGGAGACAAGGTTGTTCTTAGTTTGAACACATGCCAAAAATATACATTAATGATATAATTGAAGTCAGCTTCTGTTTTACAGTGTATACACTGCCATGCAATGTGTTTCTTTTGCCTTGTTCTGTTTATAAGGACCTTGCTGGAAAGTCCCTTGAGCTGGGAGAACTACACTGAGAAGTTGCAGCTGCTGCTGTATCTGGAAGAGCTTCAGATGGAGGTGGACATCAAGAAATACAACATCCCCAACGATGAAAGAAAAGAGGCTGTCATGTACATAGACACGGTCAACAAGAAACTTCTCGTTCTGGAGGTAAATATGTCATCCACTCATTCACTTCCCAGATAATCAGTCCGTCCCTAACTTGTCCATTGGATATTCTCACTCTGAGAATCACTAGTTCACATTTAACTTTTATTGTGCCAGAAAGCAGTTTCAAGATTTATACCAGTGCTATAGGTTTAATTTAACAGCCATGTTGACATCCATAACTGGTTCTGGTCTCCTTTAAACTAGTTTCAGGAATCATTTTAAAGGAGGTTGCAAAGTGCATCAGACATGAATCTGAATAAAACAGACAGTTAAGTTAATAGATTATTATTTTTAGAAAATTACATTGTTCCCTTGTAGCTTAATAAACCTTTTTACATAGCCAGCACAAAGCCGGTGTGAAGTGTAATCATACATTCCTGTGACAGGACCCTGATGGAGTATGATGAAAAAAAGAACATTGATATTCTTTAGATAAACACAATGGGACAATATATTCACCTGCATGTTCACTGGAATAAAACTAATTCACACTTTTTGGGCACCTCGGTGGCTCACCTGGTAGAGCGCGTACCACATGGGCTTAGTATTAACTGCAGCAACCACGGGTTCAAGTCTGACCAGCGGCCCTATGGTGCATGTCATCCCCTCTCTCTTTCCCTGACTTTCCTGTCTCTCTCTCACTAAACTATCGGAATAAAGGCAAAAATGCCCCCCCCCCCAAAAAAAAAAAAAAAAAAAATTCACTTCACACAAAATAATTCACACTTTTCCTTGTTCACCTGCCAGGTACCTGGTGTGTCTGAGAACCGCCCGTCTGTGCTACGAGGAGATCAGCTGCTGGCGTATCCCAAAGGAGAGACAGGGGTGAAGTACCGCGGCTACGTCCACAGTGTGCAGCTGGACAGCGTCAAACTGGGCTTCAGCTCAAAGTAAGATCAAGACAAAACAGTAACATACAATAATTAAAACATATGGATTTCTTTGACTGATATTTAAAAAAAAAAATATTTTTTTCAAACAGTTTGTCTTTGAATTACTTTGCAGATTGCTGGATCGCTTTGTAGACAACATGAAGTTCTGTATTGAGTTCACTGTCAACCGCCTGACTCTGCGTCTTCAGCACAGAGCAGCAGAACTGGCAACCAAATGCGGACTGGGAGAGGTGTTGTTCCCTGCTGCACCTACCTGTCCCTCTCAACTAACGCTTCCCAAACTCAGGTTAGGCATGCTTATATGTAGACTGTATGTATCTCTATACGTGGTACATTTTTTTAGCTGGCTATTTTACAGCACAGATGTCTGTCCCTCTATATGACTGCATGAATAATGTAAGACAATGATTTATCTGCACACATGACCACACTTCTCAACGAGTGCTGGAATTATCTTTGTTCTGAAGATACACACAAGAGTACTAGACAGAGAACAGTGTTATGGGTAACTGTAGATTGCAGACTCAAAGTCCAGATCCAAAATGTCAAAAACACCTCATGTGAACCTGAGCATCAAGCAACTTGACCGGCTGATGTAACTCATCTAGGGAGGTGGATTTAAAATGAAAAAGAAAAAACATGTAGAGGTTACACTCCTAACCAATTTTACATGCCATACTGCTACGTTAAATATAGCGGGGGTATTCAATTAAAAGTCAAAGAGGTCCAGTTAAACAAGATTTTCTAACTGGTTAATTCCCAACAGTTAACCAACAGTCTTAACCATTTTTATAATAAACAATCTCAACACATCTTAAAAATTGAACAGCTTTAACACATCTATTTCTTTAGTTCCCACTTTCCCAACTTATTTATGCGACTCATCTCTCCCCCGTGTGTGAAACTCACTGACTGAGTCAAGTCAGTCAGTATTTAAATTTGAGCTCCCCTGTGATGATCATTTTCTGTTTAGTCTTCTTCCCAGTCACCAGCAGTATATTAATTAAACATTCATCTCTTTTCAACCATTCTTGGGTTGCATATTCATAGGCTGTTTGACTGGCAGCTGGAGAAAAACCTGGAGCAGTATCAAGCAGTACAGCACATTGTAGCTGGCTCATCCAAACCTGCCCCTTACCTGGTGTTTGGCCCACCTGGAACAGGTACAGAAAGTTAATCTATTGCTAACCTACCAAGTTCTCACAAAGCCAGAAATGTATTGCACTTGAGTTTATTCTGGTGATGCTTTGTCTATTCAGGCAAAACCGTGACTGTGGTTGAGGCCATCAAACAGATAGAGAAGACCCAGACCTCCTGCCACATCCTGGCTTGCGCTCCTTCCAACAGCGCTGCTGATCTGCTCTGCAAGAAGATTCTGGAGCACGTGGATGACCATAAAGTGTACCGCATGTACGCGAGCAGCCGGGACCCAAAATGTATCCCTGAAGAGCTAAAGGTCAGTACTGGGTGCTTTTTTACTCCAAGTGATTGTGATTGATTGATGCTTTACTTATGTTTGTTTCAGATGTGAAGCATTTCTTTCATCCATAAAGTAACTCTTTCACTAGTCATTTTCACACACTCATTCTCTTGGTCACAGTTTGATGTTTGACAGTTGGATAACACAATGAATCACTCACTTTCTTGCTGCAGCACTGCTGCACTTCTTGGTGCTTTACGTGTTTGATGCTGAGGTTTGTCTACACTGACATTTTGTTCTTTTCACAGGCATGCTCTAACCTGGTAGGAGAGTGTTATGTTTTTCCTCAAAAAGAGGAGCTGATGGAGTATAGGATCATGGTCACCACCCTGATGACAGCTGGAAGGTAGTGAATGACTCACTGAGCATAACACTAAAGAAGTTCACTTCATTGTTGCATGCGATAGTGTTTACATCCAGTTTTTATCCTCTGTCGCTCAAAATACTAACACGTGAACTTGTGTGGGAGTAGGTTTGCCACGATATACCATGTCTCTGATCTCTGCAGGTTGGTCACAGGAGGCATTCCTGAAGGACATTACACTCACGTGTTTGTGGACGAGGCAGGGCATGCTGTGGAGACTGAATGTTTAATCCCATTGGCAGGTAAAGGGAAAAAAAGAGCACTATGTTTTTATGCCTCCATGCCGGTGAAAGCCCTGGCTGGAGGTGTTATGTTTTTCGGGTCGTCCATCCGTTTGTCCGATTCTTGTGATCACAATATCTCAGGAATGACCAAAGGGAATTTCATTACATCAGACACAAACGTCCACATGGACTCAAGGATGAACTGATAAGAATTTGGTGGCCAAAGGTCAAAGTACACTGTGACCTCACAAAACATGTTTTTTGACCATAACCATGGTGGCCCTGAGAGCTCAACGCTCTGCAACTTCAGAAAACACATGCAAATAGACAAAACACAAGAAAATTCAGGAAACATCTCCATCAATTTGACAAAACGTGCGCTGAAAACACTCACGACACAACCAAAGACACAAACATGCTGCAATTACACACAACATAATGAAAGTGTCTCCAGGGGACACAAAAAAGTGATGAACCTGGCTTGGACGCACTTGTTCAATGCTTTGTGACTCAATTTAGAGAAAGTATTGCAACCACGAGGTCGTAATTCTAGTCTGTAATTGTGCTGATCTTGTTTATATGTTTTCTGTGCTACAAAGGGCTGCTCCATCCAGAGACTGGTCAGGTGGTTTTGGCTGGAGACCCCAAGCAGCTTGGACCCATTCTCAGATCCCCTTTTGCTCTGAAATATGGCATGGGTAAGTACAGACACACTCACACAGATAAATGAGGACACGGTATATATAAATCTCCAATTCAGGTTTTGTTTTCACACATTTGATATGTTTCTGGAGTTAAAAGGCTCTGCTGTCTGCAGGAATTTCCCTCTTGGAGCGCATGATGAACAATTTCCCTCTGTATCAAAAAGAAGAGGGCGTGTACAACAATCACTTTGTCACCAAACTGCTGCGCAACTACAGGTGTGATAGAAGAAACATTTATAGGTCACTGCTGAAATTTTGTATTTGATTTTCCAGAATGCATCTTCTAATCTATTTCTATTTCTGTTGGTCCTTTTCAGGTCCCATCCTGCCATTCTGAACATTCCCAACGAGATGTTCTATGATGGAGAGCTGCTGTGTTATGCAGATGAAATGTTGCGCAACTCCTACTGCGGATGGGAATATCTCCCACAGAGGGTAATGATTCACAACATACTGGACAGTGCATGTGCAAACAGAAACTGATCATATAGAATCGATTGCATGAAAAGCGACAACCTATATGCCTTTACTATGTCTTCATTATTCAAATTACAATGTAGCCGTTTGATTTTTTTGGCTGAAACAATTAATTGATTAATCAGCAAGCTGATCAACAGAAAATTAATTGCCAACTATTTTAACATTCTATTAATCAGTTCTTTTTTCTTTTTTTTTCTTTTTTTTGCCAAAAATGCCAAAACATTTGGTTCTGAGAAATTGTGATGGGCATTTTCCCCCTTTTTTTTTTTTACATGTCATAGACTAAATAATTAGTGTAAAAAATAAGACTCATTGATGATGAAGATAATAGTTAGTAGCAGCCCTAGTTCATTCACGTGTACCTTTAAGATTCAATCAACTAATACTAACATTTTAATGCAGATTTCTCCTTTTTGCGAGAATTTTTATTGAAGGACAATATATTTAGCATCTTGATTGATTTAATTTTTTTATCTGGTGAATAACTTTAAAAAGGGAAATACAAAATTAACATTTTCTGACAATGAAACATTGTGTTCATACTGTGTGAATGTGACTGATAAGTCTGATTTATTTCAATTTCCTCCAAGTTAAAGTAGGGAAGAAATTTGATTTGTTAGAATAGTTAATTCTACAAAACAAAAACAAAAAAATGCACACTTGTGCTTCAACACAAATAAACCTAATGTTATTAAAGAACACAAATAGGCATACAGCACTTACTGTATTACTTTTGGCTTAACATTGTGATCTTTGTTTTTTTAAATTTTTTTATTCCACCTTGAAGTTTACTTCACCTCCCAGCAGCACAGAAGTATTCAAAATAATTTCTCTAAAGAATACAGCATAAGAACGCAAAAACATTTTTCTTTAAAATGTATCTTTCAGGACTTCCCACTGATCTTCCATGGGGTCACCGGTGTTGACGAGCGTGAGGCCAACAGTCCTTCATTCTTCAACATAGCAGAGGTGGAGGTGCTGATGGACTATGTGAAGAAACTGCTGCAGACGCAGGGCAAGAAGGGCCTGGCTACTATCTCACCCAAAGACATAGGCATCATCGCCCCCTACAGGAAACAGGTCAGAATGAATTCAATCAAACACACTACAGTCCGAGATCTATCACACTGAAGTGGAAAAATTTGATTTTATGTAGATTAAAAGCTGGGGATGTTTTTTTCAATTTCTGGGTGTCCTATAGGTGCAGAAAATCCGCAAGGCCCTGGAAAAAGTTGGGAAAGACTTCAAATTTAAGGACATGAATGCGCTTAAGGTAACAGAATATTTCAGACTAAAACAAAGTGAAACACACAGTGGGAGCTTTGTCTTAAGTTTATGTACATATCTGTGGCAGGTTGGTTCGGTGGAGGAGTTCCAAGGTCAGGAGAGGAGAGTCATCCTGGTGTCTACAGTTCGGAGCAGCCCCAATTACACAGAGATAGACAAAAAGTTCCACCTGGGCTTTGTCAAGAATGACAAGGTGTCTGCTGCACGCACATGCACATACTCTGTGTAGGTACATGCAAAACATTATTCTGACACTCTGACTTCACTTCTCCAGAGATTCAATGTGGCTGTGACTCGAGCCAAAGCCCTGCTAATTGTTGTGGGAAACCCCAGAGTGCTGAATGAAGATACTACCTGGAAACGGTACGTGTCACGTGGTCACTTCTGCTTTCTCCTGTCGCAGCACACATAAGGTTAAAATTTAATTTTAAATCCAAGAGAGCAGTCCCTGGTAATTTGTGACGCTTCTCTCCTCTTTGCAGCTTCATCAGCTACTGTAGCAAGGGAGGAGGCTACACTGGCTTTGTTCGTGCGGAGGAAGATGAAGACGTGGTGATGAGACTCTCTGCTCTCTACATCACGATTGAAGCTCAAGGTGACACGCATATCTTTATTTTCATTAGTATCCCCTTCAAAAGGAACATTTTGAATTGATGTTAAAATTGTCCATCTTTCTTTCTGTGACTCTTTTCTCGTCAGTGGAGACTGAAGAGAGCGTTGTTCAGCAGATCCTGGACCCCGAGTGGAGGCACGACCTGTGAACAAAAGGAGATCACAAACTTCCCTCCTTGTCACTTGATGGGATTCATTTTGCTTTTAGCTCGGTATATCTCTCCACCAGAAACCTGAAATAAAGGTTTATAAAAAAAATTCTACAATGGATTAAATCACAATCTCTGGAAAGGCCTCATTGTAACCTTTCCACATTAAAGGTATGAAAAATAACATTCCAAAATATATCTTGAATATCAGGTTATTGCACTTTTAATGTTTACTATAGAAGCTTGACCAATGACAATGAAGGAAAGGGACGTGATTCATGTTTAAAGCAGACACTTTGTCTTTGACTACTTCAGTGGGCACCACATTCCCTTGAAGCAGCTGCAAACACTGCTATAATCAAAAAAAGAAGGATCAATGTCTGTGTGTTTGTTATTTAAATCGTAGTTTTTAACTTGTCTCAATCATCGCTGGTCTTTTACAGTCATGTAGTTTTATGTTTCTTTGTTGATGTGATCTGAAATATCACATTGACATAAGTTTTCAGACCCTTTGCTACGGCACTTGAAATGTGCCTATTTCTCTTGATCATCTTTGAGACTTTTTTACATGTTGATGTTTCCACAATGGATGGTGATACATATGAATTAAGTATCTATTTTTGAATCACAATTTCTAAGTACAGCCATTTTTATTCATTTTAACCAAATGAAAAATGTGTATGGCCCATTTTGTATTTGCTTTGTTCTGAATTAAAAAATCTAAGGTCAAGGTGGACTCAATGTCAAAACTTCTCTTCTATCAGGTCATTCAAACCAAACTATAAGTAGTTTCGATGATTTAGCACTTCTGGTTTTAGTTTTCAGTGGAAGTGGGGTTTTGGTTCTGTTAAATGGCAAAAAAATACACACTTGGATTTTAATAACAAATGGATATGAATATTAACTAATTCCTGTCTGGAAGAAAGGAAGAACACAAATGTAAGATGCTGTAATGGAGATAACAGTAATTTTAAATATATGTAATTTGTAATAAATTTCCTATGACATAAAACATCACTTGTACAGTTCATAGTGGGGCAGGTAGGCAAAACAATTGTGCATTTTATGACTAAAGCATGAAAGTTTTTAGTATATAATCTACATACCCCAAAGTTTTATTTCAGAAATGGATGCAATTTGTATCTGATCTCTGGTTACCTTGGGAGGTCATAGACCTCAGCACTGAATTTTTACAGTTTTTGTCCCATTTCTCCACTAATGTGTTGCACTTGTGTGTCATTGTTTCCCAGTGTACTTAGTCTCAGTGTTCCCTTCACTCTGTGCCAGTTCGTCTTGTCCATTTGTATCATTGGTCTAGCCTTTCCTCTATGTGTTTGGTTGAAAATATATTTCTGAGTAAAGACTGTTGCTTTACCTGCTGAGCGTCGAGTTCTGCTTTTGAAGCCACTCTGTGTTCAGCCGTCACACATAGTATAGCAAGGCATAAAAAAGGACAGTAAAGAAAGGCATAAAAACATTACAATATAGTGAGGCATAAAAACGTCAAAGTATAGTAAGGCAAAAAGACGTCATATTATAATAAGGCATAAAAACCTCGTAGTAGTAAGTCATACAAAAAACATAGTATAGTAAGGTATGAAAACATCATTGTATAGTAAGTCATAAAAATGACAGTAGAGTAGGTCAAAAACATCATAGTATAGTAAGTTATAAAAACGGCATAGTCTAGTTATTCATAAAAACATCATATTATACCTAGTCATAAAAAACATCATAGTATAGTAAATGAGTAATAAAACTGTCATATTATAATAAGTCATAAAAAACTTCATAGAATAGTAAGCTATAAAAACGTCATTGAGTAGGAAGGCATAAAAACGTCAAAGTACATTAAAGCATAAAAAATGACAATGTAGTAAGTTATAAAAACAAAATAGTATAGTAAGTTTTAAAAAACGTCATTATATAGTAAAGTATAAACAAGTCATAGTATATTTAGGCATTAAAAACAACCCCAGTATTGTAAGTAATAAAAACGAAATAGTATAGAAAGGTTTAAAAATCTCATAAAAAACGTCATATTACAGTAAGGCATAAAAAACGTCACGTAAATGTAGGTCAAAAACGTCACCGTGTCACATCTTGCCAATTAAGTCCCTTTTATTTTCTTCCTTCTTGTCTCAAGTTGTGTTTCCTGTTTTATTGTGATAATTACCTCGTCTCATTCCAGGTCCCTGCACTTCCTGCCCTCCTATGCGATTAATTGACCCTGCCCAAATGTGTTGCACCTGTGTGTCATTGTTTCCCAGTGTATTTAGTCTCAGTGTTCCCTTCACTCTGTGCCAGTTCGTCTTGTCCATTTGTATCATTGGTCTAGCCTTTCTAAGTTACTTTACCTGCTGAGCGTTGAGTTCTGCTTTAGAGTCCACTCTGTGTTCAGCCATTACACATAGTAAAGCAAGGCATAAAAAAGGACAGTAAAGGAAAGCATAAAAAACGTCAAAGCATAGTAAGGCAAAAAAGACGTCATATTATAATAAGGCATAAAAATCTCGTAGAATAGTAAGTCATACAAAAAACATAGTATAGTACGCAAAAAACATAAAAAATGAAATAGTATTGCAAGGCATAAAAACATCATAGTATAGTAAGTCAGAAAAATGACATAGTATAAGGTTTAAAAAATGTCATTGAGTACTAAGGCATAAAAATGTCATAGTACATTCAGGCATAAAAAACATCAGTATAGTAAGGCACAAAAACATCATAGTATAGTAAGGTATAAAAACATCATAGTATAGTAAGTCAAAAAAGAAGTCATATTATAGTAAGGCACTAAGACTGTTACTTTACCTGCTGGGCGTCGGGTTCTGCTTTGATTCCACTCTGTGTTCAGCTGTTACACATAGTAAAGCAAGGCATAAAAAAGGACAGTAAAGGAAAGCATAAAAACATCAAAGTATAGTAAGGCAAAAAGACGTCATATTATAATAAGGCATAAAAACTTCGTAGTATAGTAAGTCATACAAAAAACATAGTATAGTAAGGTATAAAAACTTCATAGTATAGTAAGGCATAAAAACATCATATTATAGTCAGTCATAAAAAGCGGCATTGTATAGTAAGTGATAAAAACGAAATATTATAGTAAGGCATAAAAAATGACATATTATAGTAAGTCATATAAAGGACATAGTATAATAAGCCAAAAACATCACAATATAGTAAGGCATAAAAACGCCATAGTATAGTGGGGCTTAAAAAAACGTCATGGTGCAGTAAGGGATAAAAACGTCACCTTATGGTAAGGCACAAAAAACATCATTGTACAGTAAGGCAGCTCTGCCCTGTCCTAGAGGTCACATCTGAAATGCCTCCACATCTGAAAATAATCTTTATGGTTTGTTGAAACACTTGAGAAAGTTTCATGCTTGTGTGCATGTCATAAAATGCACACTACCTTGCATATACAAGCTTATCTTACTTATCTTATCATTACATTTTGCTGGTGTAAATGTTTGATAAAAGTATGAAAATATGAATTTAAAAGTGCTAAAAGCATATGTAAGACTTTTAATTTCAGGATTGCAAAACAAAACAAAACCTGTTAAGATTACGTAGTATTTCAAAAATACTTTATTAACACGTTTGTCTCATCCAGACATTCAAACACATCCTACTCCTGTTAGTAAAGCATCATCACAATCAACATTTTCTCTTGAACTATGTTTGACATTCACATAGAGGCACTGTCCAGGAATTAGCCAGATCCTGCAACATTCTGATCTCTATGGATCTGAATGTAGTGGATGAAAGAAAGATCACCATAGCTGTAGCTTATGATGGTGGTAAGATCAATGTAGGGACCATTTCATACACCTGTGTGTACAGTGTGTTCAGGGCTTTTGTCTGGGCAGGACTAGATATGGAGTATGCAGCACAGCACAAAGTCCCATTACATTGTCTGGAATAGGTTCACTGTAACTGCATCAAGAGGGCTGACTGTAAGGAGATGAGGTGGTTTAATGATTCTGTCACTTAATGGAGAAATATTCTGTATTTTAAATTGTAATTTTAGTCACTGAGATAGTTGGCACTCAGGCTTTCATCCTAATTCTGGTGCAATTTCTTGTTCAAATCTCCTGATCAAAAGGATTGGTGTAAAGATGTTAAACTTTGATTTAACATTTCAGCTTGGAGCGCGCGCATGCACACACACACAAACACACTAAGATATCCTTATTTATTCAATCACATTTTAAGGAATGTCCCTGTACTGTCAAATAAAGGGCTATTAAACACAAGCAAATCCCCAATTTCAAAATGTCAAGAGTTACTGATCTGGTGAACTAAACTGAGGAGATAGCACATTGGGAATGACACTGTCTGAGCTGTCAATCAAGTTGTCAGTTGGGTTTTTTATTAAAACTTTTATACACAGAATAGACCTATAATCTGTCTTTATATTAATATGGCTGTGTACAGTGTGCACATGTCCTCAGTTAATCCAGTATACAGTGATACATCACGACTGTATAATGAATTTGAAACAGACCACTGTCTCTATCACCGTGGAAGAGAGGCAGACCAAGGTGCAGTCCAACACCTCTCTGCACAAATCGTCGCTGCTGCTTCAGTTTATGTAGGTTTCAGTGGATTTGCGCAGTGTGAACAGGCTCTAAATTTAGTCCTTTGACAGGAACTGGAGAAAACGGAGCTCTGCTGACACAGTACTTGGTGAAATATGACTTTTAGGGTGTAAAATTAATAGTGGTATGATAAATAGATGGAAAGATCAGGACTGAAGCCGATATAAAAAGAGATGGAGTGGTACATGCAGGTTCAAGAGAAGCCGGGGGGGGGGGGGTTCCATTGTATCAAAGCAAATCTAAAAATGTCTGCAATTTGCAGCCGTGAGCTGAAAGAGAGAGAGAGAGTCAGTGAGCATGTGAGAGAGACCCATCTCTGTAAACAATCATAACACAGAGGCAGACGCATGATATATTTGTAAAGTATATGCACATATAAATACAAACATACATTCATACACACAGGAGGAGGGGGCAGGTCCTTCACACAAACAGCCCTGTATGGTGGTGGAGGAAAACTAAACAGCAAACACAAACAAAAACTGACAGTGTGTGAGTAGCAAAGGAAATATAGTTTTAAAAAAAAGAAAAAGAAAAAAAAGGCTGATGTGTTTTGCTTTTAAACAGGTGTGTCAGTCTTTCATATTCGCCTGTGGCATATCTGCATCTGTGAAGTAAGTATAGTCCACGGAAGCCATCGATTTTAGGTTTCTCTAACTTTGCTCTGTGTGTTGCGGGGAGTCCACCCTCAGGTGCTGATTGGCCAAAAAACTCCACCTCTTCACAGTAGCTGGCAGGCACCCCTCTTCTTACGCTTGCGGACCTGCAGCGCTGCTCGGGTGGCCATCTCAAACACCTCCCGCACGCCGTCCTTGGTCTTGGCGGAGCACTCCAGGTAGCCAAAGGCACTGATGCGGTTGGCCATGTCTCTTCCCTCCTCGGATTTTACTGGCTCCTGGAGGTTTAATGTACAGACAGTGGGCAAAAATTTGACCGAGTGTGTCGACATTTAGCAGAGACGCTCATCAGTTTTGGGATAATGTGTTACCAGTAGCAACACAGAAACACATACACACCTGTTTCATCTTGGCCAGCTCCCTGCGTGTGTGTTCATCATTCCTAAGATCCTTCTTGTTGCCCACAAGGATGATCGGGACGTTGGGACAAAAGTGTTTCACTTCAGGTGTCCATTTCTCGGGAATATTCTCTACAATGAAAAAAAAAAAAAATTTTTTTTTTTTTTTTTTTTTTAAAAAACAAAAAACCTCCAAAAAAACAACCCAAGTTGCTCCACAGTAAATTCCAGACTTCCTTCCTTACAAGGACACAGTTGGGAGAGCTGTGTCATTTCCCTTGTGACTATATAGACATAAACATTGGGAGGTCATCGACCCCTGGCTGATACATGGTCCGAGTCTGCTCGCCAAAATAAGCGGTTTGCTCTGGAAGGAGTTGTCATGTTGTGATAGTGTAGGCATACCATCTGTGGCACTGCCCATAACAAAAGGCTGTGGGAGAAAACCCTGGGGCTGAAGTTTTATCCAACAAGACCTATTTATTCATCTGTTTTATTTGGTTTTTGAGGGCCAAGAACACTCAGATCCAAGCCTGAAATACATGCAAGATATTCTGTGTTAACTTCCAAAAAATTCCAGCAATAGCAGCAGTCACGTTGTATTCTGGAAATCTGTTCCATCTTGTTCCTCCTGAGTGTGGAAACATCTGAATTAAAAAACACTCATCTCTCTTCAGGACGAATTTATCAGAGGGGTCAATCTACAGTAGGTTAATCTTGATGAGTGTGCTCTCTACAGGTTGGTCAATCGGCTTCACACTTACTTTTTACAGTATTAAAATTAATCTATTCTAATGCTGTAGCTGGATAACAGTCCTGTATGTGACTTGAATTACTAAACTAGAACACGACAGCCTACAAGCAGGTAACTGTAATGTTTGTCTGGATGGCAGCAGCTGGGTTAATCACAATACCAATAATTTAATCATACACATGAGGAAACACTATTTAAATAAGCATTTTCATAATGTGGATCATTGCTTTTATGAAGTCCCTGAAAAACAGGGAATTGTAATGAAAAAAAAAATTACCAAAAAAAGGGAAAAAGCTTTATATATTTCACTGGCAGATCATCTCTCCTTGTGGTGTGGCATTTAATAGAGCATTTGGTAAAACTAAAGTTGCCCCCCTGTACAAAAATAAGTTATCGCAAACATTTCATTACAAATAGATTTCTACAGTCAGAATGAACTTCCAAGCATGCATCATTGGATTTCTGATAGTCTGCATAAGTGCTGCGTGCATGCTCTGCATTTTGTGGACTGAATCCATACATGGGCCTCGTCTAACTCTATTTATTAAATGCTGGAAACAAATGCAGCTCTGTCTAAACTGTGAGGAAATATAACCAGTTGCCATGACTCACTGATGTACCACAACAAACAGAAAAAACAAAGATTTAAAAAAAAAAAAAAAATTATTACTATTTTAATTGGGTTTATATACCTCTTTCTGATTTAAGTCTAATGATACCAGGCTCAATAAAACCCTGCTATGTGATATCAACAATGCATGAACATCTCATGAAGTATCTGGATTTTGCTTCTAAATTCCAGGAAAGAAAAAAAAACACTTATTTGGGACACAGTAATGAGCTGCAAGTGTGTCTAACTTACCTAAACTGTCAGGACTGTCTATGGAGAAGCACATGAGAATAACATCTGTGTCAGGGTAGGAGAGAGGCCTCAGTCTGTCGTAGTCTTCCTGACCTGCTGTATCCCACAATGCCAACTCCACCTGAGAGAGAGGAAAAACCACAACAAGTGATGCAAGCAGTGGCGGGTAAATCCAGTTACATTGTTAAAATGAGGCATTGTGCTAACACTTCACTGACAGCAGGATGAAGCGAGAGAAAGACAACAGAAACGCAAAAACAGAATATGGACAATAAGAAAAGATGCAGAATGACTGGCAAGAGAAAAGAAAAAAAGGGATTTAAAACAATTATTTCCTCTGCTATCAGGCCTACAAAGCAACTCCCCAGAGGAGGAAATGGCTCCCACAGGCTTCTCGTAGGTTGTTAATCAAAGTGTTAGCAGTCCCACGGTGCCTGACCTGCTCTAGATGAAACAAATGCCCAACAAAAAAAACGTTTGCTCGATGCAACCACAAAGCACCATCGAGGAATGTCTTATGTACAGTCAGCCTAAAAGTGTTATTTCATGCATACATCATGTGGCCTTTTTTTTTTTTTTTTTTTTTTTTTTTTTTTACAGTAAAACAAATTGACTGTGGTCTCTTAGCTTTACCAGTAATCCTTAACTGTCTCATCCTCATGCATCCTGCTGATTTAATTCTCCAGTACCTTCCACCACCATTACAATCACAGCTGGAAAAATGTGCCTGCTACTGCCGAGAATTGGGTGAAAAAAAACCCCAAAAAAACAGTCTTAATCGTGCCCCAGAGGGCAACTACAGTATGTTTGCAGTTCTGGGCTTTTCTGACGTCTCTCTACTCTCATGTTTTGCCAAGTCTTGCTTGTTGGCTGACAAGTTACTTACCTTGGCAAGACTGGCTATCCACAGCACCTTCTGACTTATAGCACATTGTGGGCATTTTCCATAGTATATGAGACAGTGAGCTGAGCTGTATCTTCTGTCTGGGAAAGTGAGCAACACCACGCCTTGACAAACTTCAGTGTCCATTTACGCTGCTTTTCAATTCTTTCACCACTAGGTGTCTCTCAGGAGTTGACCTCTTCTGTAGTTTACCACCACGCTGCCTGTGTGAACTTTTCAGCCCCGTTTTCTTTCCAGCTACAATCGAGTATAATCCTAGATGATAAGTAGGAGTCAGCTGTGAGTTCAACAGTGACTTGTTATGAAATAATTCACCACACACATGCAGGTTTTTTTTTTTTTTTTTTTTTTTTTTTTTTTTTTTTTTAAATGGGTATACCACAGCTGAGAGGCTTAAATACCGTTAGTTTTGTTTTATACAACCTAAAGTCCAGCAGGCTGATACCAGATTTTGCACCGCAGGAAACAGGAACAGGAAATGGGACATTAGTCATGATGTATAGGGTGGGGGGGTGGGGGGGTCCAACCCTGTACAGGATCCTTTTCCTGTTGTTGGCTGGAGGTCTGCAGCCTTGTCACAATGAAAAGACCCACAGATTTGCTAACAATGCGCACTTATCCCCATCAGTCTTGACGGCACGTGGTTCTCAAACACCAGAGCCAACAGGGTCACATTTGTAACACTACAGCAGCAGTTTTCATGTGTCACATAAACCTGCCTGTTCTGAGGGATATTTGTGATTAGTGGAGGTGGAAGAAGTTAGATCCTTTGCCTAAGTAAAAGTACAACAATGTAAAAAGACTTGTTACTATACTGGTTTCCAACATAAGGGTCAGGCTTCTTCTAAAGGGTCACAATATAAATCTGAAAGGTCGTGAAATGAATAATGGTAGAGTGAAGAACAAAAAACAATGTTCTGTGCAGTAATGGTGTACTCAAATACAGTATTTGAGTAAATTTACTTAACTACTCTCCACCTATTATTTCACAGTCATCTCACCAAAACATAAAAGCAGTAATTTAAAATATGAAGTACCTGTTTGCCATCAACTTCAATGTCAGCGATGTAGTTCTCAAACACAGTGGGGACGTAGACCTCAGGGAACTGGTCCTTGCTGAAGACGATGAGCAGACAGGTCTTCCCACACGCACCATCCCCAACTATCACCAACTTCTTCCTGATGGCTGCCATCTACAAACAGAATACACTTTGATTAGTCTATATGTTCAAGTTGGAGATGACCGAGAATGAACAAACAGTCAGTAAACTGGTGGGAATCAAGTCTTTTCAAACAGAGCAGAGGAGGTGAAAAAATGCGACCAGAAATAGAGTGAAAACGAGGGGAAAAAAAGATGATCCAACTCTGTTTTAGAGCCGCACCCTCTTCCCTTTCCTGGGCAGCGTCCTGTGTGTGAGGTGAAAAACAGAGTTGGGTGGAGGGCTCAGCGCTGGTCTGGAACAGCAGTGGGAGGGAAGAGAACAGGAGGAGAGGCTCAGTGCTCAACACGCTGCTGCACATGCATGGCCTCAGTCACACAATCGCATTAAAAACAATCCGTAAGGTGTCTCTTCTACACCCATGTGGCGATGTGATTTACAGCTCCACCTGGGTTTGTCTCACTCCTCTGTATTGTGCACATTTGTCTCCCTTTCTTTTGGCTTGTAATCCTGAAAGGTGTGTATATGTGGTGGAAACGTGGCTTGCCAGAGAGATATGGCCCCACACACAAACACACACGGATCAATAGCCATCTCCCACAAGCTGACAATAATGGAGAGAAGGCAGTAGGTGATGAGACAATGTCCTGGCCGCCTGCCATCAACATCAGCCTCCACAGATCTCAGACTACCTGGACTAACACAGGCCTTTTATCCCCAAAGATCTAAACATCTTCTCTCTCACACACACACACACAGTCCAAACCACTGCTGATGAATGATGCAGAAATACTGCGTTATTATTTAAAGCGGCTAAAGAATGGATTATCTGACTACTTTCCCACAAAAGGTGTCGCTTCTAGTGATGAACCCACAACATGTGACACAACTCTGCCGCTCCCCACAGTTTCATAGAGCTTCGTAGCATCTTTCAACCCATCGTTTTGGTTTCTGGGCCCACAACTTCACTGTTTTGTTTCACTCTCGTCGCTCACGTAACATCATTTTCAGCAGCAGCAGGAAGGTGGTAGTCAGCAAAAAAAAAAAAAAAAAAAGGCTCTGAACACCCACAGTATACTAACTACCTGCTCAGCACCAAACAGCAGATAAAGTCAGCAACTAGCTGGTGAACACAGTCGTGCATTTAGCTGCTGCAAGAGTCGAATATTTCCCTCAGGAGGTGGAGACCAAAAAGTGAAGTGGAGTGAATACTGGACTTGCATTTACTAATAGGACAGAACCACAATTGCAAATGAATGCTAATGTTGCTCCGTGTCTTCTGGATGTGTTAATGTGCAACTGTTAGAGAAGAAGTCCACCGTATCAACTTAAAGGTGATCATATTATATGTCAGTGGCCACAAAGCCAGTTACTGCAGTGTTAAGGAGTTATTAAGAAATATGACATTTCCTGTTGAGTAATATGCAGAAGTGACCTTAGAAAGAAACAGATCTGAGCACATATAAAAGTACTTGTTGAGTAATAAATACAGATCAACAAACTATCAAACACTCACAAAAGTATTAGTAACTGTGATGTCAGTCACAGTGTTTTTGTGATAAACTGCATTTGTATAAACAGTTGTTTCCTCAGAAAGTTGGTGTGTGGACTGGAGAGGCCCAGTTGATACGAAATCTTCATAGAGTCTAAACACAATTCAATTCTTACAGGCTGCATGGTGGCTTATCTATTGTGGCCAAAACAAAGTATTCTATTTAGGAGGAGGCTGAAGGAGACATTATACAGTATTTTTTTTTTTTTTTGTTAAAAACAACATCGAGCCCTAAAGATAACTCACAAGACCCAGGTGTTGATGTATGTTAAAGAATGTAATGTGTATCTCCATTTGATAATCTCAGTTTGCGCGGGCCTCTGTGATTTACCTTCACTCACTGTAACAACAGCTACCTTTTTCACCACAACAATAAAAAGACAATTGTTCAGTTTGCGTTTTTTTTTTTCTCCCACACATTAAATCAGGCCAGTGTGTTGTCAGTTTGTCTCTGGAGAGAGCCACCTGTTCTCTGTGATAGCAGGCTGCTGCTACTCCATACATCATACTGTCACTGCCAGAGGGAAGATACACGCACGCACAAGCATGCATGCACACGCAGGCACACACACTTTGTAAGCTACAATGCAGCCCTAGAAAGCTTCGGAAAATGGGGCTAGTCCTGCAGATCTTGTACTGTGATGAAATAATGCAGCTTACTGACGACAATCTCTCTCACAGCATGCTGCCCACTGTGACAATGGCAGCACATGGCGCTTAGTGGGGATAATGGCCCCTTTTCCTTTGCATTAATGTGCCTGTGTGTGTGTGTGTGTGTGTGTGTGTGTGTGTGTGTGTGTGTGTGTACACATACTGTGCCAGTACAAGGACGAGAACAGGGACTCCAAGGACTTCTTCCTAAATAAGACAGCATGTGATGTGTTCTGCTGCCCTTTAAGTTGTAATATGTAACTTTTCCAGATTAAAATGTCTAAAAACAATTTGACCTATGTTATATATTTTTTGGAATTGTGTATTTACATTATCCCAAATGTTTCCAGCAATTCTCAAACCCAGAGAAATAAGTGATTATATATTTTAACCAGATGAAGGATTTTAGTCATTGGACGTCTGGATCTTAAGTTATCAGAGGAAAAAGACAGGCGAATGTTAGGCAGCTCAGCTCCCAGCCGCTGGAGACGTCCTGTCCTGTGTCTGTCAAAGAGCGTTGGCAAATCACTGATTTCAAAAATGAAACTGCTTTATTTGTTTGCCCGTAAAAAACCTGCTGAACGTCTGAAGAATCAAAAGGTAAGCAGTCTCAGTTTCCAGCTACTCAGAGACATCATGTGTCCGCTGAAAAGTGTTGGTGAATCACTGATTTTGAAAACGTTTTTTTTGGACATTTTTGTCAAGTAGAGACAAGTAGAGTTGAAACATTTGGTCAACTAATCTATAAATTTTGATAACCAATTCATTGTTAAAATAATTTTTCCAAAAAAAAAAACAAAACACTTTCAGGCAATCAATGCTACATAATATATATCTAATTTAAAATAAATTGACAGTGATGTTTGTGATTGCACAAATTAACATTCTGTTCATCACATCAGTTGGACAAAAGCCTTGTTAGGACTAGGAAAATAATAACTGTAGCCCGTTCTGTTTAAAAAGCAAAAGTGTTTATAGTTGTTCCAAACAGCCACACTCAAGGGCGGGGGAGTGAAAAGCTGGCCATTACAGGGAGGGACAAGATACAATAATCGTTTAAACACGGGGATAATGGCGCACATTTTCAGACACACTTCCCTGGAAGACTCTTAGTGTTAAACTTGTTTGTTGACATGAATAGTGACAGAAATTGTCAAGAATGGAAAGTTCAAGAGTTCAAACTCTGATTTGTCTTTCACCTTCACACCGCTGGTCAATCATGGTGTGAAGTAGATGTGAATATCAAATCATCAGTTTTGGAAAGTTACAGAAAACGTCTGACATGGCTCCCTGAATTTCGACGTCAGAAGGGGGGGGTGGGTGGGTGGGTGGGGGGGTGTTTCACACAAGCACATCCAAAGAAGCATGCTGGCGCCTCTAGACTCACTCTTGACATTAAGGTGTAAGAAAACTGCACTAGGCAGCGTAGAGGAGAGTAGCTGGCTATTTGGCAGGCAGCTGTAGCCCAATGAAACCACTTGTGTTAGGGTTTCACTTTACTTATCATTACCTACTACTACTAATTTGTTTGCTCTAACTGTGCAGTACACAACATTTCCTGTAGGTGGCTCAGACTCAAAGCTTTTCAGCAAAGAGAACAGAGCCAAGACTTTCCTTATACAAAACCGCAGGAAGTCCTCAGCTGTAATAACTTTTATCTTAGCTTTATTGTTATCGGTTCCTGTCTCTATGTTATCTGGTAAAGACGTTGGCGGTGACGATCTGGAGTCACTTAATGTGTTTTGCTGATTTTCCCCATGTCCTTTACGTGACTTCCTGGTAGGACATAAATGGCAGTGACCGAGAGATGAGAGAAAATGAGCAACAGGAAAGACAACTGGAATTCACCCATTTTGTCATTCTTTCTCCTTGAGTTTCTCCTCTCAGGTCAGTTCAAATAAGCTTTATTAGCACAAGGAGGAGTCGAACACAACCAGTCCCTCCTCTTCGTTTTCTTCAAGTCAGACAGCTCGAGACTCTGTGTGGGATATCCTTGTTTGTTCTCACAAGAATGTCTGCTAAAGGACAGTTAGAGTGTGTCTGAGAATTCATCAGAGCAGACGCACATTCAGCAGGGCTGAGGTTCTACTATTTCATGAGAATATTATTGATATGAAGTCAATACTACTGAGGACACTTTCATCCTAGGTCTTCTAGTGAGTTTAACTGCAGCCAAAGATCATACTTAAATGTAAAATTACATTAAAACTAATACAGTAAGCTCATTAATAATATAATCTTACAGTGCCTGCATTTATTGCTTTGCCGTTTGCTGTGGTATTGTGACACTATATTCATTCATATTCAACAATCAATAATTAAGTGTGCACTGGATTTTATGGCGTGGTAAGTAGGCTTCTGTCGATGTTGGAGATAAATAATTATAAAGAGAATAAACTGTGGAAAACACTCATAAATAATTGAAATGAAGATAGCTAAGTGTGTGTGGTATTGAAATAGTTCCAGCAATGAATGCCACCACAACAGTCACATGACAGCACAGCTGCATAGATCCCAGTGTTGTTACAAAGAACAAAGGGGATCCAAAAACACATTTAAGTCATATACTGAGTGATCAGCCACAGTATACATGCAGAGATATACAGTACCTGGACACACACACACACGCGCACACACACACACACCTCAAAGGAACAGGTCGTGTAACTTAGCAGGACAGTGCATGTTCACACGTGTCTCTGGATGAATGATCCTGTCTTGCGTAATGTTTGCCCCTGTGTGAGGTAGCAAAGGACAAAGTTCTCATTCCTAGCACATGCAGCACAGATGCTGATCTCTCCCCGGCAGGGTCTGAGTCACACCTTCAGAA